ACATTAATGTTCCCAATTTAGATTCTCTTTCTGGTGTAGCAAATTCATTTTGTGCTAGCCATAACATACCCTCTAATGTGTTATTAGCAACTAAATATCCATCGTAGGGTGAACCATACCTATATATTTGTATAAATAATAATACTATTTAGTTTAGAAAACAAACCAGGTAGAACCCATCCCACTTATATTAGCATGCGCAAAACCCATATCATGAGCAATACGTCTCAGTTTCCGACGATTAAAATCCGTTCCATAACCACCACCACCGGTAATTAGAGTACAATTTTTGGGAATATAATTTGCAAAATGACGATAAATAAAAACATCTAAATAATAAAATAAAGATGAAATCATTCATTTTTATTCCCTATTTCATTTGATTCTAATTAATGATTTGTTTTTAGGTTTCCGCGAATAATTTGAAAGAATTATACAAGTGAACACTGTTGTTCGATTTTTTTACGAAGTGTCGTTACTAAATTTGAAAAATGATCTAATTGTTTCTAGTAGTATGATAAAAGAGAACAATGTAGAGTTAATTCAAATTTCCTTTTATAGAAATTAATTTTCATAATCATTTCAATAGATCTAAGTGTTACTTTTATGAATAAAAATAATGGACCTTCATTTTGCAATATGTACATACGATTCCTTCATCACACATATACGAAGTAATTATTACTTGTTAAGAGCCTATAAACTTACCAATATCAGTTCGTAGAATAAAATCATATATTTTAAATACTGGATAACCTTCATAGATTGTATTTATTGAGTCAACATAACCATATGAACGAAGATCGTCATATAAAGATTGTGAACGTTTAGCATGAAATGTGTCTGTATCTGCTACTATTGGAATGCCAATAAATGGATCTTTCATATCTTTATATGATGCCATAACACGTTTCGCATCATTAAATACATTCTGAAAATTATTCTTTATCATTTCACTCGTACGAAATTGTATAGGTACATAAAGAAAAAGACGACACATGGATGGTTCTTCTGCATTTTGACGTATACGATTGACACAACCAAGACTTCGAAATTCAGTAGAAAAATTATATGTAAATATCACAAAATCCGTTCGCCATGTTAAAGGCTGACTACGTAACATTTCATACCATGAACGATAAAGCCTAAAATAAATATATATTAATTCAAATTAATAACCTTGAAATATAAAACAAGAAGTTTATACATACCATCGAACTTCTGGAAAGAAATATTCACTTTGATGATGTGGATAAAAAATAACAATAGCACGTTTTACAGCAGATGTATTTTGAACTTCTACACATGACTTAGGTTTAACAACAGTTGATGATAATACAGGTACGATTGAAGGTGCATCTTTTGTCAATGGACAATCACATTTAGTTGGTTGAGATAGTTTTTCATGAATATCATCTCTTGAATTACTAGTTACAAATACTACTAAAATACAAAATATAGATAAACCAATAGCAGCTAATACAAAACGTAGTCCAACACAACGCATATTCTCTAAAAAATGGAAAAACAAAAAAAAATAAGAGGGTACAATAATAAACGAAAAAAAAATCAATCATATTGTTTATTTCCCTCTCATAAATGTATATGTTCGTTTGCCATTAAAAAACCGACGTCAAGGTAATGAATATGTGCGTTATTCACTAAACATATGTATAACACGTTTTTTTTCATATGAAAAAAAAAGTTTATAACAGAGATACACGGGAGAACGAACGTGTCATTATGTGAATATCATTCTTACTTCTTTTTTTCTGATCATATTAGGTAAACTAAATTTTATACCGTCATATATAGTTAAGAACAAGATACAATAGACGCTCAGACACCTGTGTACTCTTTTTTTAGGACAAAAAATCGTTCGATTCTGTCGTAGGTAATATTATCGTATAAATAATATTCTTGGCTGCCGTTTTTTCCCACCTCCGAAACAAAAATCCGATCAGTGTAACTTTATACCTGATAACTAAAGAAAAAAAAAATTTCTCTCATTCATATTAAATCAAAATTTCACATAGAATAATTCTATTTCATCGTTCTTTATATTTATTCATCCCAGTATGAAGGCAATTTTTTAACATAAAACAAAATCTTACTTTTAATTATAAAATATAGAAAAATCTAAGTAATGTCACATCCATTTTGTCAGGAATATTTATATATAAATATTTGCTTTTTCTTATCCGAAGCATTATTGTATAAATTGTAGTCATTATTACAATACAGCTTTATAAATGTTTATTACGTGTATGTTTTAAACTAGAGATTTGTCATGAATGAATATAGTCAATTTTTCCTTAAATAAAAAAAAAAAGAATTCTTGTATAAAAATAATGCTTTCTAATCTGAAGCCTTAGCAAATACAAAAGATAGAAGAATAAATAATTTTTCTCATTGTATGTAAAGAAAATCTAGTGAAAAGATTCCGTAAGAATCGATTTTTTTAATCAAAATTGTATGAGTTCTTCTATCATTAGCTGCGGAAGGGGATTGAGTTTATTGTAAAAGAATAAGAAGCTATTCAAAAGAATTAAACGAGATTTATATCGTTTGAAGAAAAAAAGGTAAATCTTCATACTACTAATTTATTTGAGATCATACAATTGAAATTATATATTGATCCGTATTCTTCGGATGAAATATATTTTCTTTTAAGGAGACATATCGTTCATTTTAAAAGAGTTCGATAAATAAACTTACAATTTAAACTTTATGTTTCTCATTTAATATAATACCATCATAGCACAATAAAAATTCGATGAGTAAATATGATAGACATGACCTTGTAAAATATTGCCTTGTTTAATAACAATGACATCGATTGTGACAACGAACGAAGAAAGAATGCAAAAAAAAAGAAGAAGAATACTTACGGAATTATTTTATATTAGTCTTTTTGACAATGTCGTTTATTTTACAGACTCTAACCAGAAGAAAAGTTGACAGTAAGTTTCTGTCAGATACAGATGTCTATTACTAATTACATTAGATGTTTCTATAGTTATAAGCTTCTAAACTATGACAAGTTTGAATCGTATGTTAAATTAATACCTAACTTATTTTATTTTCATATGAATAGATATATTACTATATAAGTCTTCGTTAGTTTTTGAAAATAATTACATTGAAATGATTGAATCACTGATACCCAGACAGACAAAACTGGAAAAAAACGGAGAAATACGCGTAGAAGTTTTGAAATTCTACCGAAAATAAAACCCGGAAAAGCGCGCATTTTTACGATTTTTTATCTCCGCTAGCTTATTTTACTGTGATTAACGCGTTAAAACTCATAAAATAACATGTAAAACCACGTTGAATTCTGCGTTTCAACGAATAACTACGGAGTAAATTTTAACGCAGTAGCCTGAGTATCGATTTGTTTTCTTTTGGTGTAATTGTAGATTTTTGATAAATATAGGATTTATTTATTTCTATTTATCAACGTATTAATACCTATTCTTATATAAATGGTTTGAATTAATATATTTACTTTTGTTATAAAAGTATTAGCTGTATTCAAAATTTTATCAAATCAAATATTCGTAATTTCACATATGTTTAAAAACAATGGATTGAATTTTATACTTTATATTTATATGTAGATACTTTCTTAAAAACTATCGGTTTTTTAATATAAAAGATAATCATGAATTCTCTAACAAAGAATCTTATTTGATAGTACCTGAAATATAAAATCTGCTCGTACATTTAGAAGGAATGTAAAATCTAATTATTATCCATACTGAAATCTTTCGCAGGTTAATATAAATTAAAGTTCAATTCATTGGTTCTTTATACATTTCTGTATTGGACAAATTCCTTTGAGTATAAATATAATAACAGCGAATAGACTACTAGTATGATTCATATATAATATTTATAGTTATTGCGAAATAATGACGCAATTCTATCATGCTTGTTATTGGTATAAATAAAGAAGAATAGTTTTATTATTTGAATTTAATTCATTATGGCACGTCAACAATCCAAATTACCTATAAAATCGTTTGAATATTCAGAACTTATTGAAAATTTTCTTTATCTTGGTAGCAGTCAAACATCAAAAAATCTGGATGGTCTTCATTCATTAAAAATTACTCATATTGTTAATTTAGCTGGTAAATGTCATTATCCATCGGAATTTACTTATGGTACATTTCATATAGAAGATGGTTTATCAAAAACTAAATGTGAAAAAAATCTTCCACTTATTGTTCAATTTATTGAACAAGCTCGTCAAGAAAAATCTTCAAATCGTGTATTAATTCATTGTCGAGCTGGAATGAGTCGTACACCATTCATAGCTATTGTCTATTTAATGCATTCAAACAATATGACATTAATTGATGCATTTAATCTTGTTAAAAAATGTCGACCACAAATACGTATTCATGAAGAACATTGTAAAGTATTATTAGATCTTGATAAATCAAATAGTTGTACATTAGAATTCTTAATGAATTGAAATAATTTTCAAATTTCATTTCTTCTTCTTCTTCTAACTTTCACTTTTACATACAAATACTGCACACACACATACATGGACAAAAGAACAGGAAAAAAATGAATTAATCAAAAAGAAAAATAATTATTATCATAGTATGAGAAGAACAACTTGGGACATCGAAAGACTTGAAGAGGAAAAGAAATCAAACAAGAGTTAATGTCAATTTCGCCCGTGAATAAGGCATGAAGAACAAAAAATAATAATAATAATATTAATAATGAATAAATTATTTCTTTTTTTTAAAAAAAAAAAAGGTTCATACACAAACACATACGTTTATAGAAAGAGAAGAATCGCTTGGCGTATACAAGAAAAAGAAAAGATAACCATAAAGGTTAACACTGTGTAAATGTATGTATACAAAAACGCAAGCACCAATTTCTACATTTGAAGATAAATTTATATGTAGATTATTATGTTGCAAAATAACATGCATACAATACAAGAAAAAGAAAAAACATAAAGAAAGAAATCAAGTCGGTAAAAACATGACTGGTTGTGATGTATTCGTCCATGTTGGTATATTGTTCGCATCCATTAATGTTCCATTTGTTGTAGATGATGTACTTAGTTGATTTTGTAATGCTTGAGATGTTATAAGTGCAGCTGTAGCTGCAACAACGGCTGTTTTTTTCACATCAAGTAATGATGTTGAAGTACTATTAATAACATCGGGAGATGTTATTATAGCATTAAATGCTTTATCAATTGATTGTTCAACACGTGTATAATCACTCTAAAATAAATGTAAGAAATTAATAACGATGATAATACAAAAAAAATATTTATCTCTAGTGAAATTATACATTTGTATACCTTTGTGTACAAGTTTCGACTTTTGAATGAATGAAATATGTGAGAAAAATATTTATCTATTTCACATCTTCCTTTATTGATTCTAATTTGTAAATTTCACATGTCTTCTTTTTGTATCGAAGTAATTATCAACACTAATGTAACTGATAAGAAACTTGTCAAGTTTATTGCTCCAGTCAAAGATATCTAGATTAAAATTTTTCTATAGCGATTTTTTCACCCATCTGAGCTAAGTCAAAAAAATACAAAATTTGTGCTCTCATCCTGTAATTCGAAAGATATTTTTCCTTAGACATTTGGGTGCATACTTTATTAGCCTCATCCATTCAATGAAATTGCAATTCATGTGTCAGAGAAATAAACGGTGATAAAAACACACCGAGTTTTAAATTGTGATTCCGTCACGATACCTGTTTTTACTTGGATAGCTATACATTTATAGTTAAGCTAAGCTTCGGTTTTTCACATAACACTGAAAACGCATTACCATTTTTATTGATTCCGTCACGCGCATATATTTTACTTTTAGACTTATAAGAAAAAGACGAAATCTAACGAAACTATTTTGATGTGTTGGACAACTGCGCCTATGTACCATACAGAAGAATTCAACCTTAAACGACCGGAATGTGTTGAAACATTCATGATAATTTTTAAATGCCTAAGAAAGAATTTCCCTGCTATAAAAAGTTTTATGAGTCATAGTTCTTCTAGAATTTCGAAATATCTATGAAAATAATTTACTAACCTCATGAATTAAGCCGAGTTCAAGTAATTCTTTCGTTATACTACTTGATGTTTCATCTAATTCAATTTCTGCTGTCATATCACGTTGTAATCGATCTTGAAATTTCACACTAATAAATAACTAAATATACAAAGAAAACAAAATACACATAAAATTTAAAAACATATTCTTTTTTTTTCGTCTTACCAAACATGAACGAGTTTCTTTTGTTTTAATTTTACATTGTATATCAATAATTCTTCGATTTTCTTTCTCATCACTATTAGATAATGATGTTGTAGAAGTATTTGTATTAATAATTGTTGATGATGAATCATTTGTATTATGTTCAGTATCATTTGTTGATGACGATGATCGTTCAAATGTTGTTATACCATTTCGTGTTTTCATTCCATTCGTATTTGATGTTATTGAATTTGGATCATTTGTATTGGTTGAATAAAAAAGTGCTGAATCTATTGCCGCTTGTGTTGGTGTTGTTAAATCATTATCTGTATTCGTTAGATTCGATGAAGGAAATGATGAAAATGATGTTGATGTTGGTAGAGTTTTATCTGATAGAAGAGATTTTATTAAGAGATTTAGTGTACTATGAGTTGGAAATAATAAATGATAAGCTGTTATTGGATGTAAACCATTTTGAACATCTTCAAGAAGTTTATCCAAATCCAATGTTGGACAATCTTT